AGAGAAATTTGCAGATGGATTAGAGGTTTGAGAAGTTATTAAAGATGGAAGAGTGGTTGGGGAAGTTGCAGATGGATGAGAGGTACTTGTAGATGGAAGAGTGGTTAGAGAAGTTGCAGTTGAAGGAATTCTTGTAGATGGATGCGAAGTCGGATAAGTTATAGATCGATATGAGGTAAATTTGGTTTTTGCAGATGAAAATGATGACCCAAGATCTGAAAGTGAAGCAGATGGAGTGAGTAATTATGGCTGATCCAGTCTCATTCATGAGGACTGAACCTGCTCTAGAAAAGTAAACTAAAATTGAATTGAGTATAAGCAGTATGTGGGGTAGTGGGTTAAGCCTCTGTGCCTTTGATCAGAAGGTTGCTGATCTCAGCTCATCTGCAGGTCCTTGAGCAAGGCCCTTAACCCCCAGCTCCCTGGGTGGCTGCCCTTCACAGCCAGCTTGCTCTCGCCTACAGACAGCAAGTTGCGGGAGGCAAGAGAATTTCCCCACATGGACTTATAAAGTTGTTGTTGTTATTATTATTATTAACATACTCTTGCCGAAATGTGAACAGAACCCAGTGAGTCAAATGTTATCCTCAGACAAATAAAACACCTTGACACAGTATAATAGTAATTATCCTTTCCTAAACAAGCATGAAAAATTGCTGAGTTTGATATTTTCAATGCAGGTACAAAGAAAAGAAGGATGTGAAGAATATGGAACCAAATACTCATGTAGAACTTTTCTACGCTCACCTGCACGTTTGACACGAAGACGGCCTGAAAGAAGATAGTGACATTAAGTAAGTTTATGTACAGATACCAAAGCATATAGCTACATACACACATCCTAGCAAATGCATTGCAAGTTCAGGATCTACTGCTCCACCATGACAGGGATTTGGGATTATTTGATATTGCCAGTACAATCATAAAACTGTGGTCCTTACAGCCACCTGCGAGTATATCTTCCCTCTAACTAGTACAAATTCTGACAGCTGTGAGATGGCTGAGAACTCACCACAGGGCAGGGTAGCATCTGGCACTGTTCTCTGGCCATTCTGGTTCCACAGCCCCGAGGTCCATGCAACCAAGTTTCCATCCTTGCAGTCACTGTGGTAACTAGCATTGTCCCACATACGGAACATGTACAGTTCTATGGGGGCCACCTGGCCTGAGATGTCCCCACAACCCAGCACCAACTGCCCTACATGTGTGTTTGTTGAATTGGTGTAGACCTTCTGCCAGTAGTGCATAGCGTCCACCTGCAGGACAAGGCTCTTGTTCTGTGCATTATGTGCCACACACACATGATGCCAGGCCTGAGGCACCAGGTGCACAGGAAAGTGGAGCTTCTTCCCTCTCAACCACACAAACAGACCCTCCTTGTCACCCTGCAGGCCAAACTCTGGTTGCTTCCTCCATGGGGTGTTGTAAGTAAAAGCCACCCACCCATCCTGCGACAGCACACGGATATGCACACACATGCTCAGCTGGGCCTCCAAAGGCAGGCGTCTCTGTGTTAGGAGGGTCCAACGATCATCACAGCCACCTGAAAACACAGCCTTCAACCCCCCCAAGAAGCTTGTCTCCACCACTAGAAAAGAGAAGAGGAGGACAGTGGGACATAATCAGCATTTTTGTCATGAAACACCATGGTAAAATGTGCCAGATACGTAGTAATGTTCTGCTCTGCTGTTTCCTCTGTGTGCCCTTGGAGGCCACATAGCCAGGCCTTGGGTCTCCAAAGCCTTCCATCCCTATATGAGGTTTACTTTCTTGTCTGTTGTTCTAACTGCCATCATGGTCTTTTTTATTTGTTAACTGCTCTTTAAGGACAGAACCCAATACCCCCAAGCATCACTCTGTGAAGGACAGAGCCCGATACCCCCAAGCATCACTCTCTGAAGGACAGAGCCCGATACCCCTAAGCCTGCCGTAACATCACTATGTGAAAGACAGATGCTGTTCCCCCACCCCTGTCATGACATCACACTATGAAGGACAGAGGCGGCTCCCCCCAACCCTACGATGATGTCACTCTGTGAAGGACAGAGGCCATTCCCCCCCAACCCTGTAGTGACATCACTCTGTGAAGAACAGAGGCCGCTCCCTCCAACTCTGCAGTGATGTCACTTTGTGAAGGACAGAGATCGTTCCCCCAAGCCTGCAGTGATGTCACGCTATGAAAGACAAAGCCTGTTCCTCTAAGCCTGCAGCGACATCACTCTGTGAAAGACAGTGCCTGTTCCCCTAACCCTGCAGAGATGTCACTCTATGAAGGATAGAGCCCGTTCCCCCCCAACTCTGCAGTTATGTCACTCTGTGAAGGACAGAGCCCATTTCATTCAGCCTGCAGTGACAGTACTCTGTGAAGGATTTCTCTGAAGGGAATAAAAGTGGATCTAACTGGTTTAAAAAAATCCTGTTAACCCTGAGAGGAAATTATTTTATTCTCTTTTCAATGTGAAGTATCAGGGGAAGTGAGATATGTGCAATTTTTGCATAAACAAAAACTGCTTCAGTGAAAATTCAGCCAAATGTAGGATTGTGAGACGAAAATCACCACCAATCTATTCTTAACAAACAGCTATACATTTACCAGCAGGGTGGCCAATTTGGTTCAGGAAGATTATAACTGCTTTCTCAGTTTGACCCAGACAGGGACAAACCCTGTTCTATCAAGCTGATAGTCACTTTACCACCTAGACCCTGATCAGTCCAGGAGTACATAAAGGGGCATGCAGATGAATAAAGGTATTCATTCATTCATTAACCTTTATCTTACCAGCCAAAGCATTAAGAACGGTTTCTTACAATGACAGTTGTGCATTAAAGTGTCTGCTAAGAAGCTATAAAGAAAAGTATATTACCTGTGCCTGCATGGCAGGCAAATACAGCGAGGAACAGAAGAGCCTTCATCAAAAGTCTGTTATCTCCCAGTATGCCACAGTCTGCACAGGCCATTATTCTGCAAGACAGTAGAGCAGAGGATCATTCCAGTAACACTGGCAATTACACACTTAAATAACAGTCATTCCTATAATACTTCCTTCAACTTGTATATAATAGCACACATGGTCATGCATCCATTAAACACTCCGATTCTGCTGAGCATCAGTTATTGCAGTCTAGCTTTGACAGTGTGAAGTTGACTTTTGTACAACAATGAGTTGTAGGTATTAAACAGGGAGTGGGCAGGGATGAAAGATTGTTTGGCAATATAATACTTCAATCATGAATCAGAGCAGAACAAAGAAAACAGACATATTTCTATTTGGAGAGCCAATATTTGCAGTAAGGCCGGAATACTTCCTGCAAACTCTGCATACATTGAGCTACCTGCTTGTTGAGGCTTTATACTCTTACAGTGCTGTTTGTTCAGCAAGACCTTTGTCTGCTTCACATTGACAGATGGACATTAGGGCGGTCCACGGCACTATGGAAAATTTTGAATTTCATTAAAACCCACCTCCACAAGTTTAAATATGTTCTATCAGATGTAGTAAAGATATGATGTAAATATGGAGCAAATTGAACTACATTTAGAGGTCGCTCAAGGTCCGACAAGTTTGTTGTGGACTCAGATTAAGACAATTTGCCAAAAT